TGGAAGTCTCCTTTTGAGAATTACCTGCATCTTTTATACCACCTTTAAAAAAAAGTTTTTATTGACTTTTAGAGAGAGAGGAAGAGATGGGGAGAAAGAGAGAAACATCGATATGGGAGAGAAACATCTGTCAACTGCCTCCTGCAACCCCCTCTACTGGGGATTAAGCCCATAACCCAGGTATGTACAATGACCAGGAATCGAACTGGTGACTTTTTGGTGCTTGGGATGACACTCAACGAACTGAGCCACACTGGCCAGGGCTTATACTATCTTTTATACTTTTTAAATTTTAATATTCATTGAATTTATTGGGGTGACATCTACACTAATAAAAGAGAAACATGGTAATTGGCGTACGACCGCTACCCTTTTCATTGGCTAATCAGTGAGTATATGCAAATTAACTGTCAGCCAAGATGGCAGCCGGCAGCCAGGCACTGAAGCGAGCAGGGAGGCTTGCTTGCTGCAGACTCCAACGTTCACCGCCTCACTTGCCGGCCTCTCAGTTGCAACTCTAAGCAACTATATACTATGTTGCAAATAAGAAGCTAAACAAAACCCCAGAAAAGGGCTTCCATTCAGCCGGGCTCGGACCGCAACATTGTATCTATGTTTTCAGCAGCGAGGCCTCAGAGCTAAAGCTGGCCCAGAAAAAAAAAAAAAAAAAGAGAAGAAAACAAGGAGCGGTTGGAAGCTTTAGTCACTCGCCAGCCGGAAAACAGCCCTCAGCCCCTCACCCAGACTGGCCAGGCACCCCAGTGGGGACCCCCACCCTGATCCAGGACACCCTTCAGGGCAAACCAGCCAGCCCCTACCCATGCACCAGGCCTCTATCCTATATAGTAAAAGGGTAATATGCCTCCCAGCACCGGGATCAGCGGAGCAGCGAGGCTCCCGGCACCGGGATCAGCATGACAGGGGGCAGCGCCCAAACCCCCTGATCGCCCTGCGGCTCTGTGTGTGACAGGCTGCGGCGCCCCAACCACCCCCCCCCACGGGCCCTGCTCTGTGCCTGATAGGGGGGACCTCCCCAATCTCCTGAC